AAAGGAAGAAGTCAAAGTATCACTATTTGCAGATGATATGATAGTATACTTGAGTGAAGCCAAAAATTCTACCAGGGAACTCCTACAGCTGAATAACACCTTCAGCAAAGTGGCTAGATACAAAATTAACTCAAAAAAATCGGTAGTCATTTGAGTTTTTTATCTTAGCCATTTTCATAGGTACAAGGTGAATTTTCAGGGTTGTTTTGATTTACCTTTCTCTGAGGACTAAGAACTTTGAGCATTTCTTTAAGCATTTCTCTGCCATTCAATAATCCACTATTGAGAATTCTCAGTTTAGCTCTATACCCCATTTTTTAATTGGGTTACTTGATTTGTTGTTTTTTAACTTCTTAAGCTCTTTATATAATCTGGATATTAGCCCTCTAAGATGAGGTTAGTGAAGATCCTTTCCCAGTCTGTAAGCTGTCATTTTGTTCTGATGACAGTGTCCTTTGCTTTACAGAAGCTTTTCAGTTTCATGAGGTCCCATTTTTTGATTCTTAATCTTAGAGCCTGTGCTGTTGGTGTTCTGTTCAGGAAGTTGTCTCCTGTGCCAATGAGTTCAAGGCTCTTCCCCACTTTTTCTTTTATTTGCTGCTTTTTTTAATTTTTATTTTTATTAATTACAGTTTATTCACTTTGTATCCCCCTTGTAGCTCCCTCGCTCTTCCCCCCCAATCACACCCTCCCTTCCCTTTCTCCACCCATGCCCCTCCCCCAGTCCAATTGTAGGGGAGGGTTTCCTCCCCTTCCTTCTAGTCTATGAGGTCTCATCAGGAGTGTCCGCATTGTCTTCCTCTATGTCCTGGTAAGGATTCTCCCCCCTCAATGGGAGGTGATCAAAGAGCCAGCCTCTGAGTTCATGTCAGAGACAGTCCCTGTTCCCATTACTATGGAACCCACTTGGACACTGAGCTGCCATGGGCTCCATCTGTGCAGGGGTCCTAGGTTATCTCCATGCATGGTCCTTGGTTGGAGTATCAGTCTCAGAAAAGACCCCTGTGGAGAGATGTTTTGGTTCTGTTGCTCTCCTTGTGGCGCTTCTGTCCTCTCCATGTCTTACTATTTCCCACTTCTTTCATAAGATTCCCTGCACTCTGCTCAAAGGTTGGCCATAAGTCTCAGCATCTACTTTGATACCCTGAGGGGTAGAGCCTTTCAGAGGCCCTCTGTGGCAGGCTCCTAACTCGTTCCCTCTTATTTCGCTGTTCTGATGTCTATCTGCTTTGCCTTTCTGAATGGGGATTGAGCATCTTAGACAGTTTCTTTAGGTGTACAGATTTTAGTATGTTTATCCTATATTATATGTCTAATATCCACTTATGAGTGAGTATATACCGTGTGTGTCTTTCTGCTTCTGCATTACCTCACTCAGGATGACCTTTGCCAGTTCCTACCATCAACCTGCAAATTTCATGATTTCCTTGTTTTTTATTGCTGAGTAATATTCCATTGTGTAGATGTACCACAATTTCTGTATCCATTCCTCCACTGAGGGACATCTCTGTTGTTTCCAGCTTTTGGCTATTACAAATACAACTGCTACAAACATGGTTGAGCAAATGTCCTTGTTGTGTACTTGAGCATATTTTAGATATATGCCTAGGAGTGGTATAGCTTGATCTTGAGGAAGCACTATTCTTAATTGAGAAAGCGCCAGATTGTTTTCCAGATTGTTTGTACAAGTTTACATTCCCACCAGCAGTGGAAAAGGGTTCCCCTTTCTCCAAAATCTCTCCAGCATGTATTGTCACTTAAGTTTTTGATCCTAGCCATTCTGATGGGTGTAAGGTGAAATCTCAGGGTCATTTTGATTTGCATTTCCCTGATGACTAAAGACGTTGAGCATTTCTTTAAGTGTTTTTCGGCCATTGATATTCCTCTATTGAGAATTCTCTGTTTAGCTCTGTACTCCATTTTTTAATTGGATTACTTGATTTATTGCTTGTTTAGGCTCTTTATTATTCTGGATATTAGCCCTCTATCACATATAGGTTTGGTGAATATCCTTTCCCAACCTGTAGACAGTCGTTTTGTTCTGATGAGTGTCCTTTGCTTTACAAAAGGTTTCCAGTTTCATGAGGTCCCATTTATTTATTGTTGCTCTTAAAGCCTGTGCTGTTGGTGTTCTGTTCAGGAAGTTGTCTCCTGTGCCAATGATTCAAGGCTCTTCCCCACTTTTTCTTCTAATAGGATTAGTGTGTCTGGTTTTATGTTGAGGTCTTTGATCCACTTGGACTTTAGTTTTATGCAGGGTAATAAATATGGATCTATTTGCATCTTTCTACATATAGACATCCAGTTAGACCAGCACCATTTGTTGAACATGTTATCTTTTTTTTTTCCGTTATACGGCAATCATGTTTGTAGCAGATTTATTTGTAATAGCCACTATCTGGAAATAACCCAGATGTCCCTCAACAGAGGAATGGTTGCAGACATTGTGGTACAATTACATAATGGAATACTACTGAGAAATTAAAAACAAGGAAATCATGAAATTTGCAGGCAAATGGTGGGAACTAGAAAAGATCATTCTGAGTGAGCTGTCCCAGAAGCAGAAAGACAAACATGGTATATATTTACTTATAAGTGGATATTAGAAATATAATATAAGATAAACATACTAAAATCTGTACACCTAAATAAGCTAAGCAAGAAAGAGGACCCAGGGTAAGATGATCAATCCTCATTCAGAAAGGCCAACAGGATGGACATCAGAAGAGGGGGAAAACAGGGAACAGGACAGGAGCCTACAGCAGAGGGCCTCTGAAATACTCTACCCAGCAGGGTATTAAAGCAGATGCCGAGACTCATAGCCAAACTTTGGGCAGAGTGCAGAGAATATTATGAAAGAAACAGGAGATGAAAGACGTGGAGGGGACAGGAGATCCACAAGGAGAGCAACAGAACCAAAAGAATCTGGGCACAGGAGTGTCTTCTGAGACTGATACTCCAACCAAGGAACATGCATGGAGATAACCTAGAACCCCTGCAGAGATATAGCCCATGGCAGCTCAGTGTCCAAGTGGGTTACATAGTAATGGGAAGAGGGACTGTCTCTGACATGAACTCAGTGGCTGGCTCTTTGATTACCTCCCCCTGGGTGGGGAGCAGCCTTACCAGACCACAGTGGTAATAATAGTGATAATGCAGCCAATCCTGACTAGACACAATAGGCTAGGGTCATAGGGAAGGGGAGGAGGACCTGCCCTATCAGTGGATTTGGGGAGGGACATGAGAGGAGAAAAGGGAAGAATGGTGGGGTTGGGAGGGGATGAGGGAGGGGTCTACAGCTGGGATTCAAAATGAATAATTTGTAATTAAAAAATAAATTAATTTTAAAAATTAAGTTCTAGATCTGCAGGGCATGATAGAGCACACCTATAATCCGAGCACTCAGAGAGGCAGAGGCAGGCGGATCTTTGTAAGCTCAAGGCCAGCCTGCTCTACAGAATGAGTCCTGGAAATGCACGGCTGCACAGAGAAACCCTGTCTCGAAAATAAATAGTTAAAAATAAATAAATAAATAATAAAAGTAAAAATAATAAATAAACAAATAAAGTTCCATATCTGTCACATCACAGTGAAGCACTGTCACTGATTATGGGGGAAATTATTTAAAGTAGTTATGGGAAGAAAAAAATTGAGATATAAAATGTTTCAAAGGCCAATTCTTAAGCAGGCTGGATTGGAAACCTTATTTACATAACTACTGCTGCATAAAGAAACAATACAATTTTATTGAAGTAAAATATTTTCTAACAATTATCTTCAATCCACAGTTACTTATAACTGGGGTTCTTAATCTGTGGGTCTCAACTCCTGGGGGGTCTGGAGAGTCAAATGATCTTTTGACAGGACTCCCCTAAGACCATGAGAAAACACAGATATTTACATTTTGATTCATAACAGTAGGTAACATAGAGTTATAAAGTAGCAGCAAAGTTAATTTTATGGTTGGAGGTCAGTACAACATGAGGAACTGCATTAAAGGGTCGCAGAATTAGAACTTTAGCCACTCCTACCCCATTCTGCCCTGACCAGGTATAGGCCGTTTAATGAATCAATCAGGTATAATTTTTAGGAAGGTTTACAAAAATAGCCATCCTTGTGGCTAAAGTTCCTGGGCTTCAGAGAGAATCACTGGAGACAGACAGATGGGTAGAAGAAGGAAGAAGGACACCAGGATGGGTTAGTGTGGAGAAGAAACCATGTGGGCCAAAAGAAAGAACTCCAATAATGATATTGAAAGGCCCAGATGAAGACTAAAAGCAAGTGCCATGAGATTATGGATGGATGAGGAGACAAAATGAGGAAGATTGTAGTGGATACATTGGATGGAGCTGGGAGATGGATGGTGAGGATGTTGAGATATTGTAAGAAAACAAAAACAAAAACAAAAAAGTTTCCCAGCCCAAGATAAATAAGGCAATTGTAAATCTAACTGGTGTCTGTGTCTCATTATTCTCATTATTTGTGATAGTGTGTTAGATGATACCACTGCAATACTCTTGGGGTTAATAATAAACAACTATAGCCCAATAGCCATTTTTTAAATTTACTAAACAACTCTTCATGCCTCCCCACTTGTAGCTCCATTTTATATTGTGAGGAAACTTATGTGCAAGCTCATGTGCAAGCTCATGCAAAAAAATAATAAAGAAATACCACATACACACACACTAACCTTTACCTTACACACATGCTCAGCACTTGCAGGTAAGTGTGCCAAAAAGAGTAGTCATGGAGTGGAGATGACTTCTAATGTGTCCTCATGGTCACCATTTCTGTCCTAGGAGCTTGCTTTAAACCAGAAATGTGACAAGTTCCTCCAAAGCAAGGGGGGGTTGCACTCTATCAAGCTGTTATCTGTCCCGCCCCATGAGACTTAACATCCCTGATTGGCAACAGCAAATATGGAAGCCAATTTCCCATTCACTCTGAGTTCCTTCTGCAAGAGACATGAGTATGCCAAGATGGACGGACAGACTCACCAGACTGTTCATCTTGGAGGACGAGGACCCTGCTCTGTGCTTTCTCAAGCTGCTGGCTTCCACATGCCCGTCCTTCGGCTTTAGGACCACTCGGCCACTCCCTGCTGTTCCTTCAGATGAGGACCGCAGCCGCCTCTCTATGTATCTTCCTTCTCGATATGGACTGAGGCTACTGGCAAGAACTTTTCCAAGACAAATAGACAAATGAATATCAATACTTAAGTGGAATTTTTAATCAATGTACCATTTTAAGATAATGTAAAATGATTCAAAAGTTCTCTACCTCATGAAAGTTTCTGAGCTTGAAGTAACTATTTAATGCTTTCTGAAGGCTCAGGGTAGTCACATAGCAAATCTGTCTGTGTATCACATTTGTCATTTCATCACTCAGGCATCTGAGGCAGGAGGATTGCTGTTAGTTCGAGGTCAGCATGGTCCTCATGGGGAGTTAGGGCTACCGACTGACACTTTGTCTCAAAAATTAACAAACAAAAAATGTGTAGTCCTCTCTCGGTATGTTTAAAACAAATCCATCCATTTAGACTACAAACCTGTTGTGTTCTGAAGGGACCAGTTCAACAATCTTATGGCTTTTGATAGGCTAACATGTCATTTAATTTATTTTTAATTGTATTTGATACTTTGGATCATTCATATACTATAGCATAGCTAACAGTCTGAACTAGGCATGGAGATAAGTGCTCCCTGGCTGTGCTCCCCAGCGGTGTGTCTCCAGATCTGCAAAATCTGAAACACAAGGAGCCGCCTGAGATCCAGCACGTTATCTCTGGATACACAGCATCACTTTCAGCATTGAGACAGTTACTGTTAGCAGCAGTGTTAATGACAGACAGTAAAATAATGAAATATAGCACATAAAATAGCCAAGTGATTGGAGGCACATCCAACTGTTCCCTTGAATACTTTCTGGAAACAAAGTGAAATAATTTCCATGTATACATGTGTGCACACCCACAGACACTCACACAAAATCATATGCACACACATAAACATTCCCCTACACACTCATATTACAGTCAAAGTGAAGGCATTTAAAACTACATAGCTAGTTAATGTTGAGGTGGGCTTTGAACTTGGCAGGTTTTCTCACTCCAAGGACCGTATTTTCATAGCCCACATCCTTTTGTATTGAAAGATAGAATTTATTTATATTGAAACATAGATTTAGTTAATAGAGCCTTATTAATACAGAAAGCAGAATTGAAACTATACACATTTCCTTCATGAAGATTTTGACTGGCATTCCTCCATTTCATTAACTAGAAAGTACCCATACTTCCACAGTCACATAACCAAGTAGGCTTTCTTTCCTTCCACCTTCTTCTGAGGTCAAAATAACAGAAACAATACAGCTAATAAAAACGAGTCTCACAGACTTACATTTTCATTATAGCTAGAGTAAGTTTAAAATCAATCAAAGCAAACACTTAACAGAAACTCTGAATACAAAGAAAGCACAGCTTCCGCTCAAAATCTAAAGTAAAAATAATTGATCAACTAATAATGTAAAATAATTTACACAATTTTTGCCCGAGGAAAATCTGCATACCTTTGGCGGCATTTGGTTCATATCCATAAGACGATTTGTTAAAAACATGATGCTCCCCAGAAGAAGGAATTACCCTTGAATCTGAAACAGGGTGGGCCCCTTTAATGCATTCAGCCGGCGTCTTGTGCTGGTCGTAGGAACCCAGTGTCCTGGGCGAGCCGGTCCTCAGCTTTGGTTCTCCACCCTGTGCCACGGGGTTCTCTTCTCTTTGATGAACAGCTGCTGACTGTGTCTCCGGGTCACTCCCATTCCTGACAGGGGACTCGATGCCTGGCAGCAACACTTCCCTCTGGTTAGCGCGAGAGGTCTCCGGCAAAGAATGCAGTTCAGTGCTACCCCGACCTTCCAGCCTGTACCTCCCTGGAGACATCACAGTACAGAGCGCAGTGCCCGCAGAGTCCATCGTAGTCTTTGTGACAGCAGTGGGATTGGGAGCGGGCTGAGAGGTAGCATCATTGTGGCCAAAGTTGTCGCAGTGTGAGGCCGTGCTTCCACTTTTAGGAAAGGCATCTGCCTCGGACAAAGAATCTTCAGTCAAGGCCAAAAATTCTGAAGGGGTCTGAGCTGTAGTCAGGTCAGCAGAAAGCAGAGGCGACTGCAAGGAACTTCCTGCGCGCTCTGTTTCATCCACAGAGCAAGACAGGGAAGGCCTACCCACGGCAGCTTCCCGCTCTTGGCGCTGTGCAATAGCCAGGGAGAATTCAGGCTGCTGTTCCAATGACGTGGATTGGCTCTGTGGAACCGATTTAGAAAATTTAGAGTGAGATGAAAATGATTTGGGGAGTAGCTTCTTTGTTGACTGTTTAAGAGAACGGCGAGTTTGTTCTTCCGTGAATCCAGAATCGTCCCCTTCACTTCTGCCAGAACTTAGACAATTTATAAAGACATTCTTATTAGTTGAAGGCTCCTTTTCCCTTTCAAAATCTTCCGTCAAAGATCGTGTTATCTTCTTACTTCGTGAGCTACTAAAACCCACAGAATGTCTTCCCCTGGTTTTGACTTGTTCCTCCAAACTTAGTTTCTGCATATTGCTGTGAGTGGGTTGAGCACCATTGGAAATACTAAGGTTCTGGTCGGTGGGTTCTGGCTTAGGGTCACTCCCCTTCTTGTGGTGGAAGCTGATGGAGGGAGCACGGAATATACTCCTGCGTTTCCCCGTGCTCCCTGAGCTGGAGTTAGTGCTGGAAGGGGAGGAGCTGTGGACACCAGCTGTGTTACTGGAAGAGGGTGAAGAAGGGAGAGAATCATGTCTTCTGCTAATACTTTTCCTGAATATTGGCAACCGGGAGACCAGAGTGCATCGTCTTGATCCTGAGTCCCCCATTGGGACCCCGAGGCTTGCACTGCAATGACCAATTTAGCAGCCTGGGAAAAGTTAAAACAAAAACAACAAATCAATAGAATTCAATCTTGACCAGGACCCAGGAAAGCAAAATACAGGGTTTCAAGACAAAGAATGAAATTTGATGTATATTACAATAGTATGCCAAAATTCAGGATTTAATGGACAATGGACAAATCGGAAACACCGAACAGTTATGACAGTATTAATGTTGATGCACCTGGGTGCCAGTGACCAAGAAGGTGGTGGAGAGGATGAAAGGTGGCTACTCTAATCCACTAACTTGGATACTCAAAGAAGTCTTCTTGACCCAATCCAGATCTGAGTCCAGCTTAAAGTCAATACAGGATACAGAATGCTTGGCATTCACTGGAATGAGGAGCAGAGAGCTGCTGGCATGTTCCCCTACAGGCATTGCCACTTAGTCAGTCTTAAAGCAACCTGTGCATTCAAGCTTACAGCTCTTGTATGACTTTTCACCACAGACTTTCATGATATATCAGAGCTGGCTCCTGTTCTGGTTTGATAAAAGACATCACTTAATTTTTATATTTCTGATTACTTTGTCTTACAGTGTTGGGGCTGGAAACCCGGTGAGCTCAGTATAGGCAGGCAAGCATTAGTTCCTTCTGTGTGGCTGAGAGTAGCTACTTCGAGTTCCTACTTTGACTTCGTAATAATGATGGAGTGCAATCCGGGTTTGTGCATTAAAAATAAACCCATTTTCCACTAAGTTGTATATGTTTAACTTGCCCAAATACTTTACCACAGCAACAGAAATGAAGCAAGAATACTTATAGAGTTGTGGGGTTTGGGTCTTTTTCATGTATCCTTAGTTTTTGTTAAACACTGTGAGTCCTGTCCCTCCCACATCCGTCTGCCCCACATCGATGCTGCCAAATCTCTCCCTTGGTCCCTTCCTATATGTTCTGCCCCTTCCTTCCCCCTTAGGACCTCTTCCCCTCTCTGTATCATGGGCCCTTTCTAGCTTCCTGCCTTCTAGGAACACTCCACATTAAACACATGAATCTAAACTTTCAATGTTAGCATCCACATATGACAGAGAACATTCAGTGTTTGTCTTCTGAGCCTGGGTTATCACACTTAGCATAATACTGTTCAGCTTCATCCACTGTCCTGCAAATATGATGATTCCACTTTTCTTTACAGCTGAATGAAACTCCATTGCACATGGATGACATTTTCATGGTACACAGACTACTGCCATTGTTATTGGTTGCCCACCAAAACTAGACAGTAAGACCCTATTGCTGAAGACACTGCACACTTTGGTTGCAGGACAAAAAGAAATCAAACTGGAACTGATCTGAAGGCTTCTGCCCTGCTGGCTGCCAGAATGTAAAATGCATGCCATCTGGAGTGCAGGGAGAGTAGACAATGTTCTTAGCCAGTGTAGACCTGAGATGCTACAATACTGGCAAGCCAAGCAACATGTGCTCATTGGCTCAAGAGCAACATGGATGCTATAAGAGGAATTAGTCACTCTCTGATAGGATTTGAAGACTGCTAAATAAGGGGGAAAACTCATGGCTGATTCTGTAAATCACATGGCTGAGGAGATCATGGGCCCTAGAGTTGAACTGATCAGTTTTGCTAAATAAGGACATTATAATTGGTACCAAAACACTATCATTGACATATATAATGTATCAAAATATTTCTTGGCCTTTTCTTTGGGATTTTTTTTGTTGTTTGAATCAGCACTCAAACTGAAAGAGTAACTCAATTATAGAACTCCTTAGCAAGTATTTAGAAGACAGGTGTGAAAATGTTTTCAGAAAAGCTTCCGCCTTTAAATACTTAAAGAAAATGATGAGACCTCCAAGAGGTGAATGCGGAGTACATAGGCTATTCATGTTGCTTTGTTAAGGGGAACCCTGTCCTTGGGTAGTATAAAAATCTATCAAAAATAAAAGGTTTTTGACCCCTTATACTATGCACAATAAATGTAATAAGGTGCTCAGTTGTTGTGTAGTTGGGGACCCCACCTTTGGGGTTCTGAATGAGCATGAACCCCACTCACTCCTAGAGTTGACTGCTTGATCAGGACTTGGCTGAACTGTTTGAGAAGGATTAAGTGTCGTCTTGCTGGAGGGGGAGAGTCACTGGGGATGGGCTTCAGGATTTCCAAAGCCTACGCCAGGTCAGGGCAATCATCTGGCCCCTCTCTTCCTTGACTCCAACTTGCAGATCAGAATGTAAGCTCTCAGCTGCTGGTCCAGTGCCATGCCTACCCACCTGGTGCCACACTCTCTGCATGACGATCACAGACGCACTCTTTGAAACTATAAGCAAGCCCCAATTAAATCTTTCTTTAATATAAATAATATATAATGAAAGGTTCATTAAATTTATTTTACATTAAGTCTTGTTTCCTACTGGAAGGAGTAAGTGGCAGAAAGACAAAAGGCATGTAGTTGATTTCCCCATAGTCTTGAGAAAAGATATGTGGGGCCTGGCTACTGTCTGTATCTCCAAGCTGCCCGTCTGTGCATCACTCTTCACTGTTTTACCTTCATCCTTTGAACAGCCAAGACTATGTCTGCTTGCTTAGTCATCCATTAAATAAGAAATACACTAGCACCTAGTATAGAATGGATTTTGCTTTGAGCACATCAATATTTCAAACATAAGTAAACACATCACACTGTACCAGCCTTTATCTGAAGCTTATCAGAAGTCACTCAAATTATGAAAAAGTCATTTATCAAGAAATTGTGATTAGATACCTGAGACATATAGCTAATATAATATTGGGTAAATTGATTAAAACAGGGTCTCATCATATCACCTTCATGATACACAAAAGATGTGTCCTAAGACTGACATAGTAATTTCATTCCTCCTTACTTTATTATTATAATTGTAAATGTAACCTTTTAATTATTTAATAAAATTTACATATTTCATTTTCATATACTTTGAAATGAGAGAACAATCTTTCTCAATTACTTTTTATTGAGTGTGAGGGGGTGGGTGCTGATATGCACATGCCAAAGCATATTTGGAAGTCAGAGAATATTGGGGAGCTTATTCCCTCTTTCTACTATGTTTTCTAGGAACTGAATTCAGGTTGTCAGTCCTTTGTGGACAATGCCTTTACACTGAGAAAGCTCACAGTCCTCTTTTCTCAATTATCACCTAATCTTTCTTAACCAAATATTATTGAAAACACAAAAGCCTGTTGTCTATAGGCTTCAACTACCATAAGCATTATTGACTTTATATAAAACACACTTATTACATACATCAAAAATACCTCTTTCTGCAGATGCAATTGACAATATAAATTCTGTGCCCTCAAATGCAATCTCTGTGAGTCAGCAGTAGCATGGACTAGAACAATGGGAAATGTTATCATAGAAGCTAGAGAGATGATTTGGAGTGAAAACAGCTTACTGCTCTTGGAGAGAACCCAGGTCTATTCCCCAGCACCCACATGGCAGCCTATAGCTGCCTACAGCTGCCTGTATATCCAATTCTAAGGGATCTGACACACTCTTCTGGCCTCTAGTACATTCGTGCATGTGATATACATACAGAGAAACCAACATAAATGCATACAAAAGTAATAAAAATGAATTATTACATGGGAACTTCCCTAGTTACGACATACCAGAGCAGAAATCCATGGCCCTCCTTTCACAGGGGGCATATTCACTCTCTAATGTTTTAATGGTGAGCTATTTCCAGCAAATGGCAAATAGGCAACATGTGGCATGAAAGCAAGTGATAGGTAGGTGGGGGCTGCAATACAGAAGTCGGTGTGAAACAGTATAAAGGTCTATGCTTATAAACAAACTTGTTTATTTGAAATGACCTAATACAAGGAATACTTTAACATTTTATTACGAACTTCCCCTAAGCTCCATTTTTATTTGTATTTAAAAACTATGTAAAATCATTATTTGAAGCTTTTGTGAGGAAAGCAGCAAAAGGTAAATCTAGTCCCTGCCCTACTCTAACTCCTAAAAGTTTTCAGAAAATAAATACAAACAGACAAAATGACCACTCTCAAAAGGAAGTCTACCAGGGAAAACACCAGAAAGAAAATTCACAGACAAATTCTCTACAAGTAACAATTTTTAACTTTCAGTCATTCAGAAATAAATCGTATATAACATTATCAAAACATGCAATTTGAGGAAATTTCCTAGGAACTTTATAAAGTTATGCTGACTCAACAGGACTAGCTGAGTGTTTAGGGCTTAGCTGGAAAGATAAAACCTGCTGTTTATCCAGCAGCATTTTTAGATTTTAATCATCATGTCATTTTCCTGTGAATGCACAATTATTTTTTTTTTTAAAAATGCCTCATTTGGTCTATCTTTTTTAATTTTTATATTAATTACAGTTTATTCACTTTGTTTCCCAGCTATAGCCCCCTCCCTCATTCCCTCCAAATCCCACCCTCTCTCCCTCATCTCCTTCCATGCCCTTCTCCAAGTTCACTGATAGAGGAGGTCCTCTTCCCCTTTCATCTCACCCTTGCCTTTCAGGTCTCATCAGGACTGTCTGCATTGTCATCCTCTGTGGCCAGGTAAGGCTGCTCCCCGCACAAAGGGAGGTGATCAAAGAGCCAGCCACTGAGTTCATGTCAGAGACAGTCCCTGTTCCCATTACTAGGGAACCCACTAGCTACCATGGGCTACATCTGTGCAGGGGTTCTAGGTTATCTCCCTGCATAGTCCTTGGTGGGAGTATCAGTCTCAGAAAAGATCCCTGGGCCCAGAATTCTTGGTTCTGTTGCTCTCCTTGTGGAGCTCCTGCCCCCTCCAGGTCTTTTCTTATGCAAACCAGAAAACAATCAATGTATTTTGAGCATGGAAATCATTCCTACAACACAGGCAACAGCTACTCTGTCACTGGGATCAGGGAAGACTCCAAGGAATCAGTTACATAAAGAGAGTGAGATTACACACTCAGGAATGATTTGGCTCAGAAATCATATTGCTGAAAATAAGAATTTAATTAATAAACTGTTAAAATCATATGAAATTAG